GTCCAATATACAAACTTTTGCAGACTAGACTGATCAATTAGATTTTAGGAGTGGATTATTGCGGTTGCACGCTCTACCGTCACAAGCCGCCACATCAATACCAGCTGTAGGATTTTTTCGATTATATTATATATTTTGTGTGAACAGGTATTATGAAACTGCGACGAAAGTTGTTATGACTTTAGACTGCGATTCGTCATTCGTCTGCGCCTCACAGTAGCACTTCTCACATTGTGTTAATTGACTTTATGATGAGGAACTTTAATCGAGTAATTATACTGACGACGCGTCTATATGATTGTTTAATTAAATTTTAAAATCCATTTAAAGTTTATTAGTACAATAGAGTATCTACATATTAAACCAGAAGCAACAATATAATCGATATCTAAACCTGATACTCCAGCATAATATATTTATTTTTGATTTATTGTTAAAATTACATTTTAGTCGTTGGGTTCATATAAATTTTATTAAACTCAAAAAACAGAAGATTAATAGAAAAATAATACGTACATACTGTTGATGCATATATTATAATATAATCACAAATATATTCAGTAGGTACATTTTAATAACTAAATTTAGAGTGGGCTTATTTTTTTTTTGTTGCGTGTAAATAAACAACGTGAATTATTTGCATTGCTAACCTGTTTTGAAAGGTGAACTTAAAAATTATATTAATATACCTACTTTAAATTTACATATACGTTTATAAATAAGTAATTATAATGAGGTATGTAGATGACAACATTTATTGTATTTATTGAAATAATATATTATACAAATTTGATGGTTGGAATTAAATAAATATTAGATATAAGTGCCATAAAAAAATATATATATATTAGTCTCAATACTTCCTATACTATATAAAATACTAAAAACGTATGTGCCCATCAGCCTCATGACATACGCGGTAACTTAAAATTACTTAGTGTAGATGTCTTATTATGTATCATATACCTACTTCTAATTCAATAACATTTGTAATACTTTTTTTCCATTTATTACTGAAATTATAATGGTTTATTATTATTAATACTTTAAAAAAGTAACTATTCAGCTGAAGAATTGTAGATAAATACTCTGAACAGTCTGAATGTGTTTTAATGGTAGAATAATTTGTAATGCGTTTTTCATTAATTTTCGTTTCCAAGTCCTCGATCAGTCGCACCGATTTGTGTTTCAATCCCGTTCGTCCGGTGGCTTAAGTGGGTTTTATTTTATACACCACGATCATCATCCAAAATACTGAGCAATTACTGTATTATTTTTAACCAGTTAAAACAGCAGCAGCAAAATAATACTAGCCTGCCCGAAATTGTATTAATTATCGTATTTAACTGACGTAACTTCGTCGTGATGACTATTAGATACCTACCTAGAATAATACAATAGTATGACGTGTGAATGAATAAATTAATAATAATTATAATGTTTTAACTGGTCCTATATTATCAGTCCATTCCAGTTCGTCTATGTAGTAGATATACAGGACAAGCTCAGAAAAAAATAATATTTATTTATGTTTTTACTTTGCGCATACGTTCGGCTACTATAATAGTGTATTGTATAAAATTAAAAATCAATAATTTGTATGTACACACAAAATATACGATTTAATAAATTCATATACATATTTTCTTTCTATTTCTTGTACGCGTTAATACCTACTTTATCATCTCGTATATTCTATCAATTCATTGTAATCAAATATAAATTGAACATTAAATTCTCATTTTCCTTATACAATACCGAACAATACTTGCTGTACGAGAAATTTCTAGTGTATAATTCAATGTTATAACTCATAACTCATAATAATGCACTGTGTGTCACATATTATTATCGTTATGACAGTACATTTCTTCGTGCAGTAGTCTATACCTAATACCTATGACATTCGATATCGGAATCCCTTCCACAAGATCGACGCGAGTCACGATCGATCGATAAGACAAACAATTATTGTAGCCCATTGTACAATACGCAATACCATACTATACTAATTAATATTTCCAATATGATATTATACAGATGATCCTCGTCGTCGTTAAGGTTTCGGAACATAATTCCAGTTCCCGATTTAAAATTGGCGTAAAGTGATGACCGGTCGTCCTTATATTTACTGCAACAGGTGGCTATATACAGTTCAGGTCACAACTCAGTGTGCGCTGCTGATCCTGCGACGTTATTATTATACGTCGTTATAAATTACGATGTTATACTTACGAGAGGAAGGCTCTCTACATAAAATATACTCGGCGGAGGTGTGTCCGGTGCGCAACGCTGTTTTAATATTGTTATCGCGTATATATTGTTATTATACACAATATATAATAATATTATGTGTGACATGTAAGCGCGATTACGCGTCTTCGTCGACGACCGCAATGAATTGTGTAACAACTTACACCGCCACCACCCGCACGCCATCGTTGTTACCGCCGCCCACCCACAAGGCGACTTAATCATTACATCATTTTTTTTTTCCCGAAAACCTCGCATACTCTACACTATACTGTATTACATATTTCGTATTCGTAAACAAAATCCGTGCCATTATACTATTATACGGAACAGTCCGTATGCGTAATGATGATTGTGTTCTGTATAATTCAACTTAGATACGAGCACAAAAAAAAATTAAATACAATTGTGCAATTCCTCGTGATGTTATTTCGGCCGATATATGGTTACCTACGAATGTACAATGATATTATTAATAATTAATAATATTGTCTACACCATACGCGCGTGATGCAGCCCGGCTGGCAATGAAATAATGTAAATGCGATTATTAATTTGACGGTTATTATTTTACACTTCTATGTATACTGTTTTATGCGTGTTATTGGGGGCTCTCGCTGTACGCATGTTAAGTATTTTCCCATTAACAAAACGTAGTTATTTTATAGAGTTTAATTGTTTTGAGCCTGCCTGTTCACATCATGCAAAAAAAAAAATCGATAACCCATGTACAATAATCGTGTACTAACTATTCGGTTGAATACTGGATGCGATTATTAATTGTTTTCTAACCCAAAGATTTTTTTTTAATACGTTTTATTGATAAATTTCTCAACTTTACGTAATATGGTAGTCGGTTTATTGAGAATGTAGTGGAATTAATATTTTTATCATACCAATATTTCGAAACAAGCACCAATTACCAAATTTCAAGATCTGCAGAATACTAACCAAATTATGTCATTTTCTTTTTTTCAAATATTATCAAACAAAGAAAAGTTATGATATAAAACAGAAAACTCTGCAACTTAGACAGAATTTGTTTTGACATATCCCGACAATATTCTTCTCGTAAAATTTTGTTGTTGGTTTGTAACTCTTCAACATTATTCTCAAAGCTACAATTTTGATTTGACATTATCGGAGTATCTGTGTGACGCAGCTAGTGTACCATGTCTCCCTAATTGTTTTATTCACAAGTGTAATGTTAAGGATGAAATATATACTTAAAACGCGTTTAAACTCTGAGTTTCAATCATTACTGGTATTTTATTCAACTCGAAAAATTATACATCGATTTTAAACGACCTAGACATTCTTGCAGTCGAGGACGGAGGAATGCTAATGGTTTTTATTTTACTTATTTAATAAGGCAACAATTGTAGATGTATATAGTTACCATAAAATATTTCAGATTCTCATCAACTAATGGAAATTTGTTTGTCTTCCAATATTTTTTTTCTCTTAACTATGAACGATATTTTCCACGAGCAAAAAAATGACTTTGGAAGTACCAAATAGCCCTAAAAATCGTGTGTAATTGGTACATTCGAAAAGTTTCTCAAATCTTGAAATATAATTTATGGAAGTGTTTAAATAATGAAAACACTATTATGAACAAACATGATTTTCATATTTTTTATCTAAATTTCGTTATAATCATTTTTTTTAATTCGATAATTTAATAATTTAAGGACCGGCCTTCCCAGCCATTGGCCACTCGATATCTGTATTAACTTTTTTTCTAACTTTTATAAATAAACTTATTATTTCAGATTTATTTACTTTTGTTTTTTCTTATTCACTATGCTGGTAATTGAAACAGAAGTAGATAATTGCTTAGTTAAGTGCTTAGCTAAGTTTGAAGCGTTTTGATTAATAAATACATTCTGGTGTTAGTATTTTGGACTTTTATATAATATTTTATTCATATTTACTCCGAGATTAAGTGTTAGTGAAATAGTGGGTCGTTTGGTTATGTATACGCCGTGGATAAAAAATATTTCTACTTGGTGGTTAGAATTGTTTTTAAATAATTTCATAATATTTGTAATTTTAGGTCGACCACGGAACGTCACTGGATCCTATCACAACATGAAAATTATTCAAGAATGAGGCTCAAACTTTGTCCAAACTATCATTTTGACAACCATCAAAATGCTAGTAATTTGAGGGACAACGCTGGTAAATAATATTAATATATCAATAAAAAAAATTGATAAAATTGCCTAATTATTGAAAAAAATTCATATTTATTTTAAAGCATGCATGATATTTGACATGTTATTTCTATGAGATTAACTTTACAAAGTGTTTTCATAATAATTGTTTTTAATAATTTCAACTGTATCGTCGTACGTAGGGGGTGGTATTAAATGTATGATGGATTGTCCGGAAATACCGCCTTGCATGCCTCAAGTGGCAGTTCGAAGTTTGGTAGAAGAAGACGGTGAAATGTTACCAGATGAAGATATAGCTTCATACAAAATGAATTATCCAGAGTAAATATATCTAAACTTTTTTTTATATTCGTATATAGCTATTATACACAATTTAACAATGAATTAAATGAAGATTTATTTAGAATAATATAGTTTTTTTTATAAAAAAATTCTTTAAAATGAAGTCATTGTTTTTAATATTTAAACGATATGTAAGCGACATATCGAGATTCTAACCAGTCTTTTTTTTTATTTAAAATATTTTATCGTTCTTTATCCATTTAATTTACTAACATTAAATATATTAAAAAAAAATTAAAAATCTAAATAATCATGAGTTAGAATTTCTTTAATAAGTCCTTTACGAGTTTTCCCGCTTCATACTTTAAATGTCCTTATTTTTATTACCTATTGAATTAATATTTTAAGTATAATTTAAACATTTTTAAGAATTTTAATTTCTTATGGAAATAGTAATATCCATAAAATACGTTTCATTAAATAACTTATAGTTTTAATAATGCTTACCTATTGATTTGTTGTACACTTTTTAGGGAGGACAATGAACGAAAAGAGAAGTTGGTTTTGTCAGTTGACTGTCAATTAGTAACTTTGATGAGTGTAATAAAAGGACGATTAGTCATATCGACGACACATGCGTACTTCCATGATTTGACTCCGATCACGGAGGATTGTGATAGACATGACTTTAAGGTAAGCAATTAATATTGGCTGTACCAATTTAATATTAATCTTACACAATAATACAATGTAAACACTTTGACAAAATTAACCAATTAGGACTACTTATATTAATATTGCCAGCCTTTACGAAGCAAAAATGTATAACCTTATTTAAATCATACATTTTTTTAATAATATACATCTTTAACAAATGTAGGTACTTATTGAATTACGAAATATTAATTAATGTAGTATAAAATCTCACCTATGAATATTTAATACTTTAAGCCACGAAATCGGATTTTTATACGTGAAATACGTGCAGTATCGGAGAAACATTTTTAAAATTAATTTCACAATCGTTTTTTGTCAAAACAGGATTTATTAAACTGCGCACATTTTAAAACACTAATCAAATAGTTTAATCATTAAAAAAACATATTTAACTGGAAAAAAATACATTTTATATTTATATTTATTTAATTAAGTAGACATAAAATCAAATTAAAATAATAATATAAATTAAAATACATAACAGCATATTGCATATTAATATTTGATAAATAATTATTTAAAATAAATAATAAGTAGATAATATTATAGCCATATAAGATATCAGCTGATATGTATATTATATACTTGTACTATATTATTATAGTGTACTTTATATTTAATTATATTCTGCGAACCAGTTATACATTTTATATGAATAGTCATTTTTATGCACATTTATTCCAAGAAATGATTGGGGATATTGGACTCATATTTTGTTTAAAACTATAAAAATGAATTTTATTGTTTCATACGTTTTATGAAACTTGAACAGGTTAATTAAACAATTAAATAGTAAGCGCGGTCGTTAATGTATTTGTTTTATTGGAAGTCAATGATTACAAGTAAAACCAAAAACCATTTACCTACATTTAATCGAGTGACAAAAATGTTTAGAAAACAATCGATTCGAGCAATTTAATGATGCAATACTTTAATGGGACGATAATTTTATGATTTTCTTTTCAAATACAAGTGCGCACTTGCATCGTATAATTGCTCTTTGCGACAGTGAAATGTACAACCGGACATCATTTATTCATCAGAGTGCTAATTATTGGCAACACTATATTGTATGTCATGTCCTTGTGCCTAGTGAAAGTAATACGTATCAAATTATACAACCCAAATTGTTCAAATTGGATCGTACGTATTATTCGATTCATATTTTTAGCTGCTGATGCATACTTCACTAAATAACTATCAAGTGGATATGTTTCGAGTATATATTGAAGACTCTGTATATTATATTACATGTCACGTGTAACTAATTTTAAAATAAGACCTATTATTGTTGAATAACAACAATAATTGTTTCGATTGCATTCAGTTGTCAATATTTGAAATTTAAAGTTTTCATTTATGGGGGTGCGTTTTGCGATAAAATCATTTCATAAATGTGTGATGGCGAATCACATTAAAATTAAACATGATATTATGATGATAATATAATATTAATAGGTACATGAAATATTATTATTTACGTTTCTAAAATACAATATTAACTAACTATCATAATTTAATATGTATTAGTAAAAAGATCTGTTTATTTTCAGTGGTCCATGACAAAACTAAGAGACGTATATTTAAGACGATACAATCTACGAAGAAGCGCTTTGGAATTTTTCTTAATGGATCAATCAAATTATTTTCTAAACTTTACAACAAAAGTAAAACATACAAAAATATATTAGCAATTATGTATTAGCATTTTTAAATGTGTATATTATTCTTTTTATGATTTTAAGATTCGTTTGAAAGTATTGACTTCGATTTATAGCGTGCATCCACCTAATTTCTCATTTAACAGCAGTCGACACCCACAAGATCTTTTACGAAAGTCTGGATGCACTCAGAAGTGGGTTAATAGAGAAATTTCAAACTTTGAATATTTAATGCAAGTAAGTACTACGCTACTACTGAATAGCGTCAGTAGGTTTATCGTAAATAATAATCAAATTTCTGATTCGACTAATAATTATTTTTTACGCCCAGCTGAACACCATAGCAGGCCGCACTTACAATGATCTGTCACAATACCCAGTATTCCCGTGGGTGCTGGCTGATTATAAATCTGAGGAACTAGATTTGAACGATCCAAAAACGTTCAGAGACCTATCTCGGCCCGTGGGCGTTGTGAATCCCAACAATGAGGCTGACGTACAAGCCAAGTACAGAAACTTCGAGGACCCAAACGGAGTAATCGGGAAATTTCATTATGGTACACACTATTCAAATTCTGCCGGTGTACTTCATTATTTGGTTAGGGTTGAACCGTTTACTTCTCTGCATATCGAGCTCCAAAGCGGAAGGTTAATTTTATTTGTTTATAAATACAAAATTAGCTCACTTATTTTTATTAATATAATCATCACATAATTACCAAAAATGAAAACGTATCTAAAAACTATTTTAGATTCGATGTCGCCGATCGCCAGTTCCATTCAATCGCACAAACTTGGAAGCTTTTAATGGACACGCCGAATGATGTCAAAGAACTGATACCTGAATTCTTCTTTTTTCCAGAATTCTTAAAAAATATGAACAAGTAAGTTTTTTGTATGATTGCACTTAAACTTTTAAGTAAAAAATAAATGTTTAAAATATAAAAATGATAAGAAAGATCGATAAGGTAAAATATTAATTTTATCAAAGTGGGAGTTTTTGCAATTAGGCACTGAAATAGTGAAATAAAATTAATATTATTTCAAATAAATTTTATAGATTTGATCTAGGACGCTTACAATCATCTAAAATAAGGATCGGTGACGTTATCCTTCCTCCTTGGGCCGATAGTCCCGAAGACTTTATTTACAAACACCGGAAGGCGTTGGAATCTGAATATGTGTCGAATCATCTTCACGAGTGGATCGATTTAATATTCGGATACAAACAAAAAGGTCAAGCCGCAGTAGATGCTATGAACGTTTTCTATTACTGCAGGTGACTTTAACGTCTTCAAATATTTGTATTTTCATAGTCCATGTTCTAACATGTAATACATGTACTATATAGTTATGAGGGAGCCGTTGATCTAGACGCGATTGTCGATCCCATAGAAAGAGAAGCCGTGGAAGGCATGATCAATAATTTTGGACAAACCCCGAGTCAATTGCTAAAAGAACCTCATCCACTAAGACTACCGTTGGACAAGGCGTTAGAAAAAATGATGAAATCGGACCACAAAAAACCAGATCTTACAATGATGCTGTCAGAGTTGTCCACGTTTTACGTTGAGGTACCCTTAATCGTTATTATGTTTGAAGGGACTCCAAAAAAAAATACAATACAGCGCCCTGTGTAAAAAAAAAACCACTTTGTTTACAGATAACAGATAATAAACACCCAATGGTATTTTTGAGTCCTCCCCGGTCGGGGACTAAAGGATTATTACAGACGTTTATGACCGACGATACATTGGTAACAGTGTGTGATAACTCCTTGATTGGCAGGCACTCGTGGTTGCCATACGACAGACATTCCAATAAGGGATTCACGCTTGAAGTGGACCAGTCGCACATTTTGCTCAAGTAAATTATAGGATTATTAATCATCGTTGTATTATGTTTGCATCTGTGGGTAGAACACGATAATAACCCCAATGGTTTTTGTTTTTGTCGCTTACAGGGGCAAAAAAGACCCAAACGCGTATCCGATGAGGTCGTCCTCGTACCATCCATCCGTAGAAATGAACAGTCATCTGTTTGCCGTGTCCCACGACGCCAAATATTTATTCACCGCTGGTCATTGGGACTATAGCGTGAAAACTTTCAGTTTCTCGAAAAACAAATACGTGTCGTCTGTCATCCGGCACTTTGGTAAATATGTCACGACCGACTACTGTTAACCAGAGTTATATTTTGTACACTGTACAGACACGTTTAGTTTTAATCGATGATTTAATTTCGCTCTTTTTCAGACGTTGTGACGTGCTTGGCACTAGACTCCTGCGGATGGTACATGATAAGCGGCTCGAGGGATTGTACCTCGGTCGTGTGGGACGTTTCAAATGCAAACAACACAAATCCTAAACCATTCCAAACGCTTCTCGGACACGATTTGCCCGTCACCTGTGTGGCGATAGCTACGGAATTGGATATGGCCGTTTCTGGTTCACAAGATGGCACCGTTAATGTGTACAGCATACACCAAGGGCTTTTGGTCCACTGTCTCACTCCTTTGGGATGTGTTTCCCCTCCGTCCATCATTACATTCGTGGCAATTTCATTTCAAGGACATATCGCTTTTTCGTCCAAAGATAAAGTACGTATCGATTTATCGCAACTTGTTTGTGGGCATACTTACGTTCCGTCTTACAAGTACAATATACCCACATATACGTTGGTCATTCAAAATACATTTTTATTGCTTTAATTGTTTTTAGAAAAACCATTCCGTCCATGTATTCAGCTGCAACGGTGACAATTTAGGTTCAAAATACGTTGCAGCTCAAGTGACTGGTATTACAACTATAGGTGACTGTTTAGTGGTGGTCGACGATGCAGGAGATCTAACGCTTAGTAGACTATTAGGGTGAGTATAAGGAATGCTTAAAATGACTTAATACGCATAGGTATATGTTAAAATGTAAAAACTATAAGTATACAATCCAACGTCGCTCGGTTTCAATTTCAATTTCTGTAGTATGTAAATATTTAAGTTTTGATTTAATTATTACATTTTGTTATTGTAGAAAATCAATTTGTAAACATTAGTTAATTGATAAGTGTTTTCGTTAGCAGGAGCATGCTCACGCCGAGTGGATTATTTTTAGCATATAAAACATATGATATAACAATGAAAGTATATTTATGGTCTGAGAATAGCCAAAAATGCATATTCCCTCCCCCTTTCAAAAAAGCGAGCATGCCACAGTTCGTTAGTTAAAAGAACAATTTTGAAACAAAAAAAAATTAAGACAAGAGGTCCGAAAAGATGTTTTGTTATTATAAATATTTACAATTAAGTATATTACCTTAGAAAATATTTTTTAAATAAAAATAACATTATAAAAGTGTTTTAAGTAGAATAGCAATTGGAAGTTGGTACACAGCAGAAACCGTTTTTAAGGGGTGTAGTATAGGCAATTATACTGGCATTTTAAGAAAAATGTTAGTTTAATAAACCATACAACGTATTATCAATAACTGTTGCTGTAGTTGTCACTTGTCTTATTGCAGCAATCGCATTGCACATAATCATTGTTGATTTAAATATGAGGTTTTTTCACAAACAGAATTTTGATTAAAGCATGATCATTAGTTTTACGATTTCAAAAACCGTGTCCATAACAATAGCCGATTTATAACAGCTTATTAACAGTTTAATATTATAAATAGAACACTTGGTTAGGTAATAAAGCATAGAGACAATTATTTATGTTACTACTTTAATGGTAGACACTAGGCAACGCTCCCGAGTGGCCTCTTGCTGTCAACTTTAATGAGAGGCTCATTTTAACAAGTAGCAATCTTTAGGAACAATAAACCTTAAGTCTATCATGTTTCTAGTTTAAGTTAAGGTCATTTTAATAGCCTATAACTCAACGACAACGTGGTTGTCTTGCCTACAAATATAATATATTAATAATATTGTGATGTATTATTACACCTCTCATTTGCGGATGACTTAAAAATCCCACCATGAGAAAAAAAACAGCAACACGTGGTTCCTTCAAAATTGTATAGGCAGTTCTGCTGATGCCCCACTTGATGCTCCTTTCCCTTATCAACTTTCGTATCCTTCCAAGTCCAACCCGCTCTATAGCTCCATTATCCATTCCTAAACACTCCATACTAATTACAGTATCGGTATAATCAAATTGACCGATCAATGCGTCCAGCCAACACCCACTTTTTATTCCTGTTGTAATCTGGTTACCTAGTTCCGTCTCACTCCTATTGAGCTTACACTGTTTGTAAATAAATTACTACTGCGCTTTGGGCCGAGCCCATATTTAATTAATAAATTATTAAATATTATTATTTATTAAACAAAAAAATGATATTATTTTTTCTATTATTTTAACAAAAACTGTCGAATTTTTATTACAGTCTGCATCCGGTCTACGACGTCCCCTTACACGTTCCGGTCCAAACGGTGGTGGCGACGCCAGGCAACACACACTTGTTGGCGCCACTGAGGGACGGAAAGATCGCCGTAATCGGTTTGCCGAATTCAAACAATAATTGATCGTCGTCACGGCATCACTTCTCGGTCGACTCCGTTCAAACAATAACATAATATCGTTTCAACGATAGTCAATTTATTATTTTTAACTATTATTATTATTATTACTATAGACATTCTACACTTGTTGTATTTAGTTTGTTTTTAGTTTTAGATCTTATTAACAATTTGTATCCATTATTTTATTATTATTATTATCATTAAATATAGTAAAATATTATTATGATATTATATAAACCAATAAACCTAATAATATTATTTTATAAGACATAAATGTAATCGATTTGCCAAATATTATAGATAAAGACGTATTTCCTCAATATTGTATTGCTCATATGTACATACTACATATTATTATATGTTCGATGGTGATTTATTCGATTTTTTTTAGGTGCTAATATCAATATCAATAACTATCATCAATAATTATAACATTATATATTATATTATTATTATGTATTACATCTAATTCTTATTCTTATTATCTAGTTTTCGGGTATATGGTTCAAAATTTATAAGGAGTAATTTTATTATTATTATTTGTTAGTGTATTGTTACGTAGATTTTGTTATTGTGATTTAATTGTACAATTTATTGTAATTCGATCATTATTTTAAGTATTAAATTAAAATTATCATTTTCTTCAAAATTGTGTTGTGTCTGAATTTTTCAATTATTTTAATATTTACTCATCCTTTCTTAATGGTTCTTATACAACTTTTATAATATGAACACTTTTTAAACTATTAAAACTATTATATAAATACGTTGATATATAAATAATTATTTTAAAAATACCTATTTTTTTTTTTAACACGTGGAACGTCATGTGTGTATTTTTTTGTTTTGATCGGCGATACCCGTCATTATATACCATGCATTTGTGCTTTAGGATTGTTAAATGTTAAATATATCCGAGATATTAGCCGTTTATATTGTGACCCTTCGTCCTGATAAAAAAAAAAAAAAAAAAATCGTGCAACTTCAATTGTGAATACGATTATAAGGTCCCAGTGAGAGGAGGTACGCGCTGTCCTTGATTGTCAATTGAAGCAGAATTTTGTACCGAACCTCCATTTTCCGGTTGTACTTGACCATTTTCAAATGAATGAACGATGAAATGTATTTCACCTATATCTGCACCTACGATTAAGATATACCTATCTTTCACGGTACTTGATGACCAATAATAATATACAGAGAATAGTTCCAATAAGGCATTAATTATTTTTAATTAATCCAATTATATCAATTATCTAGTTGAAAAATACTTTTGAATACTGAAACATTGAGTAAAAGTTTGTTTACAAATAGTACTTTTATTGTTTATACCGTAGGTAAGTAAGAATACTAAAGTTATTTTATGCTAATAATATTTAATGTTTTTACTTATTTTCAATGAAGAATTTTGTAATGTATTTTTTAATAGGTATGTTATGCAGATATATATTTTTGTCCAGATGAAAACATGATAGAAACTTTTTAATTATTATCATATTTATTAATTAGGTTCAAAACTCAATTGAATTTATTTGATTTTAATAATAGTTACTTATTAAATAAAAACATTTTTAAAACAAATTAAGTTTTATTAACCACTAGTTAAACATTTCATCAATAATCCTTATTAGCTACTTATCACTACTCAAAGAAAGTAGGCAACTATTAAAAACACATGCGGTTTTTAAACTAGTTTTTATTATAAAAAAAACCTTAGTTTAAAATGCATAGTACAACTTCAATTTGTATTCTAAATATAAATTAAATTAAAATGCTAAAATATGTCTACTAAAATCTCTAACATTTATACCATAATATGTAAAAATATTGCTTGTGTCTTATGTGTTGTAGACATGCATGCTAATTGGCAAACATTTTTAAATTGTTTTTTACTTGTATGATTGTTTATAATAAACATGTAAGAGTGTAGGTTTCCATAGTTATTATTTTGTTAAATTAAATCTAATATTTTAGTTTGCCGTCATATATGTACCTGTAGGTACTAATAATAATAACAATGCTTGTATAAATTTGTTTTGACATTTAAAACAAACGGTAAAAATTAATTAATAATGTTTAATATCGTTGTAATATTAATCAGGTATGCATTTTATCTTGAGATCCACTATTTAAATTGTACAAACCAATGACATCAAAATTCGCAATAGATTCGTTACCCGTACGATTCGTAATCCAGTGTAATGAATTAAAGTTATCACGTGTTATCAGAATAATAATAATAATCATAGAAATTATTGTAGGAGTTCATTATTTTACGCTTGGAGTGGGGAGATCCTTCGGGATGAATGGAAGCTAATATTTTGTACAACTAGTATATATTGTAAATTCTGTAAGTGTACGTCGTGAAATTTGTTTATAGTGCTCACTAAATTACTTTTGTCAGTTTTAAGTCAATTAATATAAATAAAAAAATTTAAAAACAACAAAAATGGTAAAATATCTTAAGTCGTTACTCTCGTTGTTTGAATAAATAAGTTAATTTTATCGGAAGAATAAGTATACTGCAGATACAAGCCAGAGAAATGACCCAAAAGTATGTTGAAATCATATAATAATAATCATAATGTAATATAAGGAAATAAATAAGGTATAACATGTGCTGGAAAATTAATTTATTATTCAATATCATTAATAAAAGGAAATATTAAAAATTAATTTGCACTTTAATTGTATTAAGTATAATTTAATGTCAAAAATAGCTTCATAATAAAAATACAATAAGCAATAGATTTGCTTCACTATTCATTCCAATACCTAAAATATTATTTTTATATCGTACTATTATTATTTTAAGTAGGTACAAAAATAAACAAGATTCATAAATCCCATCTTCGTAGACTTAAACTCAATAAAAAAAAGAATAGCCTATAATATATCATAAATTAATTTACCATCATGATAGAACTACACTGTTATTTTGGTAATTTCAAATATTTAATTATTATTCGAAGTAATAATTTTTAAATTTAAAATAATATATTCTACGTTCATCGGTTTCCAATTACCTAACAATAAGTATATCGTTTTATAGGGATATATTGCATGCAACATGTTCAGCGTTTTTTTCTATTATATTTTTGATCGATAAATCATAGTTAAATTAAAAGCTCCACTCAGAATATATTAAGGCACCCAGGATACAAAGAATGTGTGCAAGCTGAGTAGCTAAGAATACGGGTTGTGTTATTAAACATTTAAAATGTATAAATAATAATTCTAAAACCATCACTGAGGAACCAATTATAAAAACATCAAAATATAAGAAAAAACTACTACTGACTAAAAACAGCTAGAAAAATATTATAAGTGTAATTGTATTTACTAACGTTTTAAAATGTTAGCAATTTATTTTATAGGCACATTTTCAAGACATTTTATTATATTTTAGTTAGTATTAATTAATTTTAATATTCGAATAAAGAGGACGGCGTACTACCCACATGTGCAGTTGTTTTCGTCTCACAAACGCATAACATAGCAAATTATATCACTCTAAGTCTCTAAATAATCAATTTAATTCTGTTATTATTAAAAATTTTAAGTAAAATGATCTATTATCAAATTTAAGGGTAAGACTATAATCCAGAGCCTTTCTCAAAATTTTTAAATATTTTTAAATTAAAATAGCAGTAATAAACATTTTATAACCGTTCATTTTTGGAATGCTCATAACTTGCTTTAAAATCATAATACCAAAACAAAATAATGCATTGAGTCCTGGATAAAATATGTACCTCTTTTTTTTATAATAGGTCAATTCACTCTAATGTCAAAAATAACAGAGTAAAATGGATTTTTCTGAACGAACATAGTTTGCTAAGAAATGTGTTTTCTTAAGACAAAGCCGGAGACCCGTCCTCTCGTATTAAAATACAAAACTGCGCATTAACCAGTTAATAAGTTAAGTTCAAATTAATTTAAATTTTGAAATAGTTACTTTTATTTTTATTGATTTACTTTAATTGTAAAAACATTAACATCATAAAAACGTAGTTAATTTTGAATTTAATCCCAGTTCATTTACTTTTACTAATTGATGTTAAAATTTCTGAAAAAATGTTCACCTGAAAGTCATGTACTCATGTCACCATCAGCTAAGTAAAGATTATGTGCTAGAGATTAACGCATGTTATTGAGTCAATTTTTTTCAATTAAATTTTAATATAACAGTGTTATTTAAAATAAGCAATGACCTAACAAATGTAACTCTATGTACAATTTTTGTGCAAAAACTTAAAACCCAGGATAACATTTGAAAATGTTATTAATATACCATCATGATAATTGACAAATTAAACTAATGCAATTGATGATAATTTTTCTGGGCAAAAAAAAAAATTAAAATTTTTATACAAAAGGTAAAAGTGTTCATAAGTTAAAAGTATTGTTTCACAAGGTTTACACCCCTTCAAGCCGCCTGATAACTACAATGAGCATTATTTAACTTGTAAACATTTTCATATCTTTAAATTTAAAGTCACCAATTTAAAAATAATAATGTACTAGTAGTGTTGCATCAGTTGCTAAAAATGTTTCGAAATCATTAAATTATTATGTTTAATCGCTAAGCATTTTATGTATTTAGTATTATTTGAAACCAAAACATTTATTACTTGCTTTCATTAAAACCATTTCAATACAATTTGTAAATAAAATATGTAGCACAAATGTACTTTTTTTTATAACTATAATGGTAAAAATTTTAATTATTTTATCATTTAATTGTTATGGCGATTACGTTCAGTTTCAAATTACATTTCCAAGATCATGATAACCTTTTTTACTTTTTTAATGTTTACTGTCCTTTACTACGAATTGAGAGTTTCTGGAAATAAATAAATAATTATCATAGCACACAGGAGAATAGTGATAATACATTTCTAGAAAACAGCAATTTGCAACAAGAGACCGTAAAATAAGATTATTGCGATCGCGGGAATGTAACTGAACTCTAATAACTGTAAAGGTCTCAATACGCTGAAACGTAAATGATTTTTTAGTGGGGTCATATTGTATTCATTA